CAATTCAGCTATTATTTGCTGGTTACTCTGGGTGGTCAAATATGGATGAGACCAGGTGTGAATTCCGATTTCGTGACCTTTCATTTTTTACTATAGGTTACTTATTTGCAAGCAATAACAACATTATTTTATTTCGAAATATACATAGGTTATAGGCCTGTTTCAACCCTAGAACCAACCACAAAAAAGGTAATGGTGATTCCCTGTGACTTAATAGATCGACTGTGTAAATCCTGTAATAGAGTCATATGATTAATATGTCATACAATTTAATTAGAACGCATAAAGTTGATGTTTACGTTGGACCGTCGTCGAAGGAGAGACCCCAATCTATAAAAAAAAAAAAAAAAAAAAAAATTAAATTAAATTTGTTACACGTCTCAAATATGCAACAGAAAAGTAAAAACCAATTTATATAAAAGGATTACCTCCAGGATTTGGGCAGTTGGTGATGTCTTCATTCAAACATCCTGTACAATACCAATTGCAATAGGTATTCGTTGTCGGACACGCGCTAACATTGGGTCTAACAGGGGCCGGAGGTATTTTGTCGAAGTTCACTAGTGCATTAAATTCAGGCATTATCGGTGGGGGCAAATCAAGGCTTGGCCACGTTTCCTGCGCGAGTGCGAGACTTGCAAATAGGTGTATTATCAATATAAATACGATTCTCATTTTCCAAGGGAAAATGCAATTCTCATGAAGTTGTTATCGTTATTTATATTTTCGATTTTCTTTTAGTACGTATTTTGTCTTGTCATTTATGATATCGTGAAGACGTAATTTCAAGTTTAGCTATTTACTTTAGATGGACAAGTTAAAAGACTATTTGTGATCAAGAGCTTTCTCCTTCCAGGATCACAAATGTGCGTTGAAATTACACAGGCATGTATTCTAAAAGGTTCGAGTTTAAATAAGTCTATGTATTTACGTTTAAAAGTAACGGTATTAATATACAGACAAAATAAATTGTGCGAACGATTTAGGAAATACTGCAGGACCTGAGTTTAGTTGGAATTTTTAACCAATTTGTATTAGCCCAAGCACGCCCATATGACAAAATGGATTTACATGACTACATGATCAACTGCCAAGAATTTTGTCTCCAGTTAACGGGATTACAAAAATTCTCAGAAAGGAAGGGCAGTACCAGCGCACAAAAATGATGAAATTATTGGTAACAATTATCTTTAAAACTACACGCCACGCACACATAAACGATGAAGTACGCAGCATGACATAATCTATTTTTGTGTGTATTAGTTTTTTTGACGGATTATCGTTTCTTCGTGCATTGATTTGTGTAACGTCGCGTCGGATTTCGAATTGATGCAAGGGAATTAAATGGGCAAGTATTTTCAAAGGCAGATAGGAGTTTTGAATCCTATTTAAAATTATCCAAACCTAATTATTTAGGATCTGAGAATTTCTGTCGTCTTCGAAAAACATTTCTCAGGTTTATACATTAAATCCTGAGACATGCTTGGTAAATTTCGTCAAATTGAGTTTCGAATTCGGATATTAAATGTTCTCCCGAATTTGTACATACTTTGGTGTTACTCGATGCAAGTGTAAAAAAAAAAAATCTAATCTCACATCATGTTTCCATATGCGGTATATGTTTTAGTTTCACCGAGTGACATTTGCTCATGATCTAGTAAGTACGTGGAGTTTTAACCGATACAATACAGTAGAGGAAATCTTGGAAATACAGTAAATTTCAGGTTTAACTTCAAAATTTTCAAAGAAAAAAAATTTTTTTTTAAAGATTTACGATCAAGAATTATTATTATTAAGCTATATAATATTATTCTTTACATTTTCGTGTTCATAATAAAATTACATTTCCGCTAATGATTTTAAAAATCCATATAATAAGAAATCTGATATA